GTTTTCTTATCAACAGAGAAAAATCCAGTCTAGTACTTACTTAAAGATTGGTATATCTTGGGAGACTGTTTCATTTGGACAAGGGACCAGATTGCCCAGCTCAAGGAAAAATAGACAAACTGAATATGGCAGTATTGATTCTGTTAACAGGGAATGCATCGTCAGCATTTTACTTCCTACAATTATTTAGCATAATACCATCTTGCATAGAGTTAATTCCAAATGCTCTCTTGTTCAGGAGACCATTCAATTATATTTCCTCTCATTTTGGAGACCAAGTTGTCAAGATCTTTCCATCAAGATCCCAGTTACTCCAAATCTGAAATCACATTTCAGATAGTGGCAAATCTCAGCAAACACGCAAACACGCAAACACGCAGAGAGGCCAATCTTTTTAACAGGCCCAAACTTCTATTACAGATGCTTAGGGGGTTTTATGAACAATAAAATCTTTAAAAGGGATGGTCAGAAATACAGAGCTAGAGACATATAAATTCCATAGAATTGAAAGCAGTGCAAGGTCAATACGTTCTGATAAGGTCGAACAATACCACAGTGGTCCACAATATAAACAAACAAAGGGGGACGAAATCACCCACTTTTTCCTTCAAAACATTAGATTTATGAACTCTTGCAATTCAGAACAATATTCGATTGAAGGCTGCTCATATAATTAAAATTTAACATTTTAGCAGACCAACTCAGCCGAAACCAAAATTCAACATACAGAATGGTCTTTGAACAAACATGTGGTTCAGAACCTATTGCGATCTGGGAAACTCCTTTGATATAACTATTTGCATCTATAGACAATCCTCAGACAAAAAGGTGTTGTTCATGATGCCAATATTAGAAAGCTTTAGCCGTGGATGCTTTGACAATTTCATTGGAGAGAATGTATGCTTTCGCATATCTCTAAATTTGTCTGATTCCGAAAATCCTACAATATATAAGGCAGTACCATTGTCAGATTTTGTTGATAGTATAGACGGGTTCAATGGCGTTCGGACTATATGGAAATCAAGAAGGAATATTTCGCTCCTTAAACTTTTATTTTAGCAGTCCGGCAAGACCGAACAACAAACTCCAAACCAAATGTAAAGTAACATACAACCAATAACAATATATATAAGCACAAGCAATTAAAGGATTAAGAAGATTAACATATGCCAAATAGAAATAGCAATAGATTGGAAGAGTAATTAATGTCCGACACTTATAAGTAAATTATTGTCTAAACTGTTACAGAGAATAAATAATTAAATGAATAGAGTAAATGAATTTAAGTCCTTTGTCCAAGATTATGACACATAATCCGTGTCAAACACTTATGTCTAAATTTACGACAAAGTTCAGAATAATAAAATAAATGCAAAACAAGAATATACATTAGAACAACTGAATTCATAAAATGTTGTTTAAAAACTATTTTCACACTGCACAGTCCAAATAGTCCGGTCATATATTCTTGCGGCCCCTGAAGACACGACCCGGGTCTAAATGATCATCTAAAATTGTTCCGAAAGTTTCTTCTGTGATAATAATTATCTTCTCTTGTATTTTTACAAAATTTGTCCAATTCGTCTTCTAGTTTGGTGATTCGATCCCGCATATGTTCTTTATCGCGTTGTAGAATGAATTGCTTATCGATTGCTTCACATATTTGATCGTACAGCCCAAAATTAGATTCTTCAAGGTTATTAGTGCGTTCACGTAATTTTTCCATTTCCTTTTGGTCAGCTGCGTTTTGTTTTTGAAGTTTTTCTAGATTGCTAACAACACTGGTATGCTTTTGATTTAATTCTTTAAATTTCTTTCCATAGTGTACACTTTTAATTTTGAATTTAACTCTCTCGGAATTCACTCGGTCGTGCCTGAGTCTTACGTTATCTATGTTTTCCTTGTTATATTCTAAGGTTGGAAAGAAGTCCATCAGTACTATGGCATTAAGTTCTGCACAAGGAAACTTTTACATTGCTTTCTGTTCTTTGAATTTTCTCATTCTTTCTGCGTCTCGACGTAACTTGGGTTTCGATTTAACCTTAACAACTTCTACGTCCGGTTGTCTGTGAAAATTACACATTCTGACGTAATGTCCAAAACTTCTGCACTTATAGCAAAATGACGTTTTTGCTCTACATTGTCTAAAATGAAATTGATTGTTCACAGTCTTTCCACAAAACTTACATAGGTAGTTGTCCATATGTTGAAAATTTCTGTTCTGAAAGGTAGTTCCATTATCAGGCATCTGGTATCTCCAGTCTCGGCCAAAATTTCTGGTTCTCTGCGTATCCATTTTTCTGTTTGCTGGGGGATCAGCTTCACAGGTAGAGCAAGGTATCCGATGGATGCGTTGCCCGAAGGTCCTAACACCAAATATAGCCGGGTAGAATGGAGTTCCGACTATATGGATATCAAGAAGGAATATTTCGCTCCTTAAACTTCAATTTTAGCAGTCCGGCAAGACCGAACAACAAACTCCAAACTAAATGTAAAGTAACATACAAACAATAACAATATAAATAAGCACAAGCAATTAAAGGATTAAGAAGATTAACATATGCCAAATAGAAATAGCAATAGATTGGAAGAGTAATTAATGTCCGACACTTATAAGTAAATTATTGTCTAAACTGTTACAGAGAATAAATAATTAAATGAATAGAGTAAATGGATTTAAGACCTTTGTCCAAGATTATGACACATAATCCGTGTCAAACACTTATGCCTAAATTTACGACAAGGTTCAGAATAATAAAATAAATGAAAAACAAGAATATACATTAAAACAACTGAATTCATAAAATGTTGTTTAAAAACTATTTTCACACTGCACAGTCCAAATAGTCCGGTCATAATAGCTCCCCAATAGCCACGTAAACATTGGTATCCAGAACTGCTTCAATTCTTGATAGCAGTTCCTATCCTGATGCCAGTAATTCCAGAGTTGTTATGTCAACCGAAAACTCGGATTGATCGTCCCAACCCACAAGTTTTCAAGCTGACTGCATGGCTTCTATCAACGAACAGTTTGCAACAAAATGCTTAAATATTTTTCTAAGGGAGCTAGATAGTTACTCTCCGCCTCATGGCGGAAAGGAACTCAAAAAGATTACTGCTCAAAATTCAAAAGAGTTCAATAGCTGGTATTATACAAGGAAAGTTGATCCTCATAAAGTATCTTTAAGTCAGATAGCAGATTTTTTAACATCAATGTATTTGATATTTGTTTGCAATACAGAACAATTGCAGGATATCGCTCAATGTTGGCCACCGTATTACTTCCAATAGATAATTTTCCAAATTGGACAACATCCTCAAATAATTAGATTCATTAACGGTGATTTCAATACTAAACCACCAGTTGCTAAGCTACTACCAGAGTGGGATTTACACCTAGTTCTAAGAATATTAGTATTTAGATAAAACAAAACCGTTGCGAAAAAAAATTACAACAAGACCAAAGAAGGAAATTATTTTTAGCATCATGTCAACCTCACAGACAAGTTGATTCTCAAACGATTTCACACTGGATTGTTCAAATCATAAAACAGGCTTATTCTGACTCTGATTCATCAGGGAAAATGAAAATACATCCACATTCAACGAGAGCTATTGGGAAAATAAATGACACTTGGGCATTCTTTAAAGGAGCATCTATTAATTCGATCTTAGAATCTGCAGATTGGAGCTCAGAATCTACCTTCAGTAGATTTTGTTTCAGAAAATAGACGAAGTTTACTTTTTCGGTGAGTTGCCTAGCATGTTTTTGTTACTCACTTGAAGTGTAAATGGTGGAAAATGTTTATTTGCTTTAAACTATGAACTACATTTTAACTGATAATGACGTTTGAAATGGCGTATAATCACAGATATAATAGGTTCAAATATGCTTTGAAATCAGCAGTAATCCTAACGTTTATTCCTTTACTAACAAGTACAAATAATTCATAAAATTAGAACTTGAAAACAAATTCTCAGTTTTACTGTTCCATAAATCACGTATCAACAAATATTACTTATTACCCGATTCAAATTTGTCATGGTTTAGTTGGCGTTTCTCACCGAAAGACCAGGTTCTAAAAATCCTTCCAAAAGCATCTGATTTTACCACCATTCGAATCTGCTTTTGAATAAGGATCGAAGTATCTAAATTTTAAGTCTTATCGTTTGCGTAATGTGCATTTATGACTTTTTTCTGTTGGCCACGGTGTTGTTGTTCCGTCTTTGTGCTTTATGAAAATAAAGATTGAAACCTCTTGTAGTATAGTTCACCTAAACACCTTAGTACACGATGACTGTGCTAATGCGTAAACCATGTAAATCATGCTATTGTGCTGATGGCATATAATAAATTAGCTTTTGTATGTAGCTTCTGAATGACATTTTCATATTGCCTTTCCATTCTTCTAGTACGTAAGCGAGACTTCAGTGGTTTAACATTTCAAATTCGGCCTTGTATTCTACTCTACTTATAATGCAGAATCTATAGATGAAGATGTGGTATGAGTGCCAATGAGACAACTCTCCATCCAAGTTACAATTTGTAAAAGTAAACCATTATAGGTCAAGGTACGGCCTTCAACACGGAGCATTGGCTCACACCGAACATCAAGCTATAAAGGGCCCCAAAAAATTACTAGTGTAAAACCATTCAAACGGAAAAACCAACGGTCTAATCAATATAAAAACGAGAAACGAGAAACACGTATGAACTACATAAACAAACGACAACTATTGTAATCAGATGTGATAACATTTGCTCGGGAATATCGAAAATTTATTGAAGATTAAGTTATTTTGACTGAACTAACTTTTATGAATAAATGAGCTGACAAACTAGATGATCATCTTCGGAATTTCTTTTTTTGTAAATTTTTATACATGTATCTTAGATTTTTTAGATTGATGAAGTGAGGTTTTACATATGAATGCTAATCATTTCGACGCGCAATGTTGCTTGTTACCTTATCAAATATAAGTTTTTGCAAATCACTTACCTGGAATCTTCTTCTTCAGGGTATCTACAAGTTGTGGAAACCAAAGATGTTTGCACGTTGTACAGTTGATGTATGGAAAATTCCTCAAATTCAAACGAATTTCATTTAGATAATCTAATTCGACAGCTATGACTGGCATATCATCTTTTATATAGAAATCATACTGTTCATAATTGTCCTTTGTTAAGGTCAATATGACTGCTTGAAACATGTTGACATACATGCCTAGTCTTCTTTTTATTGGAAAACCATTCAGATATTCTTTAGCAAGGATAGAGGACTTAATATCATATTTTGTTTTTAACATTGTCGACATGTACTGTACCCATTCAATTTCTTTTTCGTCGTCCCCATTCAAAAAGGCTACATCGAATTTCTCAGTTTGTGCCTTATGTTTTTTATCTCCTGGAATAAAAGGATTACTATAATGTATTTGAAATTAATTCTATCGAAATTTTATATGAACAAATTTCTGATTGGATCATAGTTATTTTGCAGTTAGATTTGTATGTTTATAAATTGATCAAAACTATATAGAATTTTCTTCTGTCCAAGTGGCATTATCCATCTACGTTGGGGAAGTTTAGACATATGGTTCAAAATAAACATCAATCAACAAACATTTGCCAAACTTTCAGTCTTGACCTTTGACCACGCGTCCTAAAAAAATACAAAGCGTTGACAATGCCCTTGAGTTGACAAACAAGTTGGTGATTTGACAAACAAGTTGTTTGTCAACTCACGGGCATTACAAAACAATGTTGTAAAGATTAGACATACGATCACAATGATAACATACGAAAACCAAACCAAATTTTTGCCCACATTTCATTCCAACAAAATCTATTTTAACTTGATTTTCAACCTTTTGACCCCAAAATCTATAAGGATCATTTCCATCGAACGAAACAGTCAAACAAACTAAGTGAAAAAAAAATTAGAATCAAAATTTTGAGGAAATTTCGTTTTATTAACAACAGCTTTGACCTTGACATCTGGTCTGTTAACCCCAAAATCAATATCTTCTACCATCGAATTATATTTTGTAACAAAGGTAGACATATGGTTCAAACGATAACATCTGGAAACTACAGTTTTGATCAAATTTCAGCTTATAAATAGCTGTCATGACCGTGACCCAAAAATTAACAAATGTCTGCCTCTGGACATTTTTGCGTATATGTAGTAAATGTATTTCTTTTTGTATATATGTAATGAGAGGAACCTTATTTATATGGAGGTAATGTTTAACATCAATATGTCGTTTCTGTCTCGAACATGACTTGTATGGTCGGTTCTAATCTTAAATTTACCAAAGTCATTACCGATTTTATGACATTATCGAGATATGTTCATATTTTAAAAGAAAAATGACTGTTTTCATAATATCATAGTTACGTGCGCCCATGCAAGGTTTTGAAAAGATGTTGACATGTAACATGTCTATATAGAATACATATCATAAATTACAATTATGAAAGCTTTAAAAAAAGCAAGAGATGGGTGGATGAATGAAAAGTCCATTGTTATCCTTGCCGTTTGGTCTTTTTTGTGGATATTTGTCACATTTTCAATATAACCACAACTCAGTTTTCCGCATTATGCAAAAAGATGTTTCTCTTGACATATGAAACACTGCAAAATGTTTCCATCCCCCCAAACGTGTTTGATATCAGAAAACGTGTCTATTTCGCCCAAATGAGTCCTTAAAATCTCAAATCGCCCAAACATGTCAGATTTTAAAACCCCAAACGTGTCCGATAATTGTTATTCGCAAAAACGTGTATACATTAAACTGCTCGAAAGCTTCAAAGTTTTTAGCACTATTTGTTCTCAGTGACTTCTATAATGTTTACGGCTATTCAATGATAGGGAACACGATTGAAGACGTCGGGTTTCAGTTGGATTAAAAAAGGTTGAAGAAGCTATCTAAGGACATCTGGAGGAAAGGTGTAATGATGCGTATAGACAAATGTCCAAGATATGGTACACTATCCACAGTGAAAGATGAAATCACTGACTTTTGCTTTCAAATAAACAGACATAAGATAAGTACTTGCAGTGGTTTTATTAATCTTTTTTTATCAATATGATTATTATTGTTTTAAATTTTAAATAGAGGTACTTCACACTTAATAAATTAAAAGCGTTATTCCAGTGCCTCACTGTTGATTAGGTGGTCATTTATTAGCATTAGTTTACTCAACGCATGTTGTTAATATTCAGCATGATTGCAAGTTTAATTTACAACACATAAGTTAACTCTTGACTGTTGATTGCTTAATGTCCAGTGGCAAATATGTCTTATATTTTATTTTCAGTTTTCTGCATTATAGAAATAGATGTTTCTCTTGACATATTTATAAATTTTCAGCGGTAAATCTTTAAAATGCATATTTGAATTATCAGTAATATTAGTAATGCATGAATATGTATCGAATGAGATCCAATTTACTGTGTGTAGTACGCCCAGAGCTATAATCGAATTCAACCTTGAAATTCTTCTGGACGTTCATGTTACACACAGATAACCAAAGGCTAAACATGTGAAACATTTACATTAAAAGGGTAAAGGACATTAGCTGACTTTTCTGGTGTAAAATATTAAGAATAATCATATTTGTAAAGGTATAAAATTTATATACAGGTTAATGTTCACCAAATTGAATGATTACAATATATCTTGATCTAAAATGCTGCAGGACTGATACTAAGAGACAGCTTAACAGTTTAATACCGATACATTTAATACTAATATTTAGCTTCCGTCTCAGAATTAACCCTGTCGACTTTTTTTTGTCTTCAACTGTACTTGATAGTATAGTTAGTAGGCCTAAACAAAACAAAAAAACAAGCTTTCTGACCAGCACTCAATATTTTATTTTAACTTTGTATTATAACGTTTGTTCTAGTAAATGTTCGAAAAGTGTGTTTTTGCTAATATAAAATCCAGTCAAAACTCGCTGTAGGGGACATGGCTTCATCCTTTTTGTTATATTTTGTACTTGTTTATAATTTGGCTTTAAATTTGAATTGCTTTGAACTCTCTTGAGAAAGTGAATCAAGAAATTAGCCAGTCTAATACGTATCACTTTGTTTTGCGCACATCCTTTTCAAATTTTGTCTTTTTTTGTTATGTTTTTTTTTTGTTATTCATTTTTCTAAACAAAATCACACTTGATGAATTTAACAGATTAATACAAACACTTTTCTGATCAGTCTTTACTGTTGCCAGGCAATATATTAATGCAATAATATTCCACTTTTAGTTTTTGCATTGGCAAGTTCAGTTGTTTCATTGAAAATATTGAAGATGTCAAAGATTTTACATGCAAAAAAGAAAATTAAATTGCCGACCCGGAATTCAGGAAGAGCGAGCAATCATTTACATGTCTGTTAATGTCATTGGAAAATTAAGATAACTGTTAAGCACATACCTGAACCCTGTTGATGTAGCTCCTCGAGCGGAAGTTCACAACTAATAGCTACTGCAAAATAAGGTAAAACAGTGTTATTCAAAGCGGATTTGGCGTACTAAATCTCCAGCCTACAATTAGAACTTTGCATATTATGCCGGGCAAAAAATAGGCGAAAAATACCAAGGGACATTCAAACTCATAAGTTGAAAACTGAAAAAGCCATGACTAAAAAGGAAAAAGACAAACAGACACATAATAGCACACAAAACACAACATAGAAAACTAAGGACTGAGCAACACGAACCCCACCAACAACTGGGGTGATCTCAGGTGCTCCAGAAGGGTAAGCAGATCCTGCTCCAGATGTGACACCCGTCATGTTGCTCATGTTAGTACACACTCGATAATAAGTATAATACGGTTGGTCACATTCGAGGAAAAGTGGACGTGATTGTACTTACGACATTTGGAACATATCCACTATCATGTGTGACACGGATATTCCATAATGGTCAACCAACTCGTGATGGCGTCCATAAAATTTACGAAGGGATGAAATCAACTTCACCACTTGGAACTCTTGGTTTAATAACTTCCTTGTGAGCAGCTTATCAACCCATTACTTTAACCTGAGTTAGTTCATTTCTTACCACACTTTCTAAACCGGTGATTGAAATAGAATTACCAACCCGTCAGTTTTATATATTTTGGATGCGTCCACCAATTGAATAAAGTAGCATAAAAGTGTCATTTGCTGCCAATTAACTGACCACAATGGTTTACACGGGAATAGAAATGTTGTCATCCCTTGATTGTTTTCCGTTCACAGAACAAAATCATTGCTAAACTAGAGCGTTTGTTGGGTTGTGCGAGATGTATCAATACGCAGCCACGTTCGTTCGAATACCTGTTGTATGGAGAATGCCACGCTCTGCATGTTAAAAATCCCTTGTAACAACTTTTTGAGTGGTTCGTAGGTGGTGTATTGCAAGTTCCAATTGCCATTTACGTTCAACATATTTTCATTTCTAGCGCGGTCAAAATTTACCGTCCTTCGTCCTGGTAGACCTAACTTCCATAACATACCTAGCGTCTGTTAATGTGTTCATGTACTGAATATGCATGAAATGTTCGCAACTGGACGTTATCGAGCAACGATAATCTTCCAAGAAATTAAATTTGCAGGTTATTTGTCTATTGTTATTTTTAATTATTTAGTACAATTGTTCTTTTCGATGTTTGAAACATTTGCATGACTGCCAATTTGACCAAGTGTACATTTTGCAAGATTTGTTTTCATAGTTGTTTTGGTTGGTTCCCGATGAAGGTAAATGCCGAAAAGCGCTTCGGACGCATGAAATGTATAACGTGTTGTTTTCATTTATTGCGCTTGTGGAATGATTTTGTTTTGGAAAGATAGAAATAACATTTTTCTTAAGTTGATCAGTTGTTGCCCTTTAAAAAAACCCACTATAATTTACTTAATGCATTTATATAGCAGACGTACTTTTAGTGTAATTAAGAGCCGGAAGATACAAAATGCAGATTCAGAGCTCACAACTTGACAAAATATGACAACCCCATGACAACAAAACAAAAGACGAAAAAAAACAACATAGAAAGCTATGGACTGAGCAACACGAATCCCATCAAAAGCTAAGGGAGATCTCAGGTGTTCCGAGAGGTCATTTTGCTCTACTTTGGTAACCGTCGTGATGATCATGGTTACTTCAAACTAGTTGATAAATCTCATTGAAAATGTCACAATCGTGAAAAAGAGGACGAAGTTATTTTCAAAAAGGATTGCCTGGCAAATGTGAAGAATTAAAATATACTAATGTTTACTAGAGCGAGTTTTGAAAACAATACACAATCAGAAGGTTTTTTATACACGATAAAACTTCAGACGACTTCAGATCAAACCTTAGTCGCAACATAATAGTAAACGCTGATGTTGACACTTTATTACAGTTAAACTTCATATATATATAATGTATCAGTAGATATATATTGATACAATTCAGAAGCTTATTTTGGATAATTATAGTAAACTTTAAAAATTGGTTTAATGGCTCAGTAAGTCACTCGTGAACCCCCCACCCCCCCCCCCCCCCCCCTTTTTTTGGTCCATTATGGGGCAAGTATACAGTGCGTTAAGATTCACAAACCTTCATTAGCATTCAAAATATGAAGCGTGACGTCAAGTCGGCAGGGTATTTCTGTATTGATATCACAGTCTTCTATCATTTTCGTAAGAAATGATATGACTGCAGCTTCAAATGCTTCAGTATCACTGAGTATACTTGTTGCTATCGTTGTCAACATAATCAAAGAACCTTTCCTCACAAATTTCTTCTTAAATTGTGCATCTTTGTTTAATGGATCACGAAGAGTTGCTTCTACTTCTTCTAGGTTCCAGTGCTTAGGAGTTGCTATTTGCCAAAGGACAGGACTTTCCATTGAATCTAGGTTTAAAACAGTAAATTGCATACAATTAACCACCACAATCATAATATCCTACGATTTAATTTTGGGATATAACGTTGTCGCTAGTCATTGGTAGTAAACTTTTTTTTTACTTTACGGCGTATATTTCATCTTGCAAAATTCAACACATGCTTAATATAAAACTTGTATTATAATTATATTACATATTACTAATTTGTAACATCAATGAATATATTATACCTGCACATGTGTTCTCAGGTACGAGTAAGTTAGCAGGTTTTTCATATTTCACTGACAGTGTTAAGTTCTGTATTGCTCTTAATATTTCCACTAAAATAGAATTAAAATTAAACGAAAAACATGAAAAAAAATATAAGAATATGCATATTAATGATTTGCAGGCATAACATTTAAGCTTCTTTTCTTTCTATTTTATCTTTTGAGATTTTTTATTTTCTCAATTATGGCAAATGCAATTGATAAATAGGGTATTAGATTAAAACAGATAAAACAGTAGCATAAAGTGACACCAAACAATTATATTTACTCTTAGATGCATGATTTTTTATATTACTTGTTATTTGCTTTGAACTAGCTGTCAGTAACTGCGAGTTCTCTCAGATCTGTGCTTAGTGTCTTTTTGATGTGGGGATGTATAAGTACCCTGCCCCGTCCACTCTGTATTTTTGTTAGATGTAATATGGCTTTGTATCGATCTGATGAGTTTAGCCCTTCTCAACTGATTTTTATAGTTTGTTCTTATGTTTTACTGTTACACTACTGTCCCAGGTTAGGGGGGAGTTTGGCGCGCTGTATGTGCCTGTTCCAAGTTAGGAGCCTGTAATTTAGTGGTTGTCGTTGTTGCTGTATATTATATTTGTTTTTTGTTAATTATTTTGAACATAAATCAGGCCGTTAATTTTCCCGTTTAAATTGTTTTAGATACGTCATTTCGGGGCCTTTTATAGCTGACTATGCGATATGGATTTACTCATTTTTGAAGCCTGTACGATGACCTTTATCTGTTAATTTCTGTGTCATTTGGTCTCTTGTGGAGATTTGTCTCATTGGCAATCATACCACATTTTCTTATTTTTATAAACATGAATTTAGCGAATTATAACATTAACATATTAAATGTAACATGTAAATATCAACAAATAAAAAGGTTTCAACCATATATTGGTGCTAGAGACCTTAACACTCAAGGGTGTACAATCCAAACCTGATTGCTTTGTTTAATCGGATGAATGGTTTCTCACCCTTTAAAAAAACTTGGTTTTTATTGTTTTGTCCAATTTTTACAGTAATACCACTTTTTTTTACGGTTTGCACTACTATTTCCGATGCTCGATTGAGAGATCAGTCTCAATAAACAAACTTATTTCTGCAAGATATGAAATCGTGGAATCAAATTTATATTTAGTTTATCAAAAATTTTACTATGGTAGGAACCAAGCTAATGCGGACAACAAAATACAGATTATAATATCATCGTTCAACATATTTGTTTGGTAGATTGATATATAAACAAACAGTCGTATACAAAAAAAGTAATGTGTGCACCATAATGACCAATTTATTTTTGTGTGCACATCAAGTAGAATTTACACAGAACATTTTAAAGATAAAAAGAAAAATAATCTTGCAAATTTCTGCGATTTAGCCTTCAGATATATTTATGATGTCCCGTCACTCATTAACCTCTATTACAGGGCATAATTGCATCTTAAATATTCAAGTGGACTAGAGGTAAAAAATACTATGAGACTAGAAAGTCTGCTTCATATCTTGATCTTTTCCTGGATATTGCACTGATGAACTTCAAACTAAAAACAATAATAAACGTGTTGAATTCAATGTTCCGATTGTCAACTTTCTATTCGTGGCAGTAACATATCCTCATCGTATGGCATTTACAGATCACAATAAGTACGTAACACTTGTGCATGCTCACCATATACGGACGCCATTAACACGGGTATGTTCTAACAGAGTTATGAGGAAGAATGACTTAAATCGATAAAATAAAGGATTCACAATGACAATCACAAATTGATTGACCCGCACGACCCGTCTGTGTTTGAACTCACTAGCGACTCGTTTTCGCAGTCTTTGACCTTTAGATACCAGGATAGTCGTTAAAACGAATAATGTTACCAGTGTGTCCTATTCTTGATTGTGACATTTTGACTGATTATGGATTTGCATGACGCGTAATTTATGCATAGCCGGAGATGTTTACCCAGTCGACTCGACTGGTCTTGCTTCTCTTGAATTTTAGACAATTCCCTTCGTTTTTCAGTTGATACCTTGATCTGTATCCTCAATTTATAAGATTTGTGAATTGATGAATTAGTGTTGCCTAGATGTATTACTTCTAAAGATGTGAAGCTCCTAATTAGTTGTATATTAAAGAAAAGACATAATTTTTAATCAGGTAAAAATGAAGAATAGGACATCCTTGCCTTGTGTTTTCTCTTGATTTTCCTTGACTTCCTTGATATTTGTCATGGTTTCATGCAGCTGGTTTCCTAACTGTTGAAAACTGCTTGTCTGAGATTCTCTCACTTCTTCGACCTGGTGTTTAATACAGCTTTCTAACTTACTCCCTGTATTTTGTATCTTTTCTGAGAGTGCATGTTGAGCTTGTTGAATATCGACTGTATTATTGATTGACATATTTGCAATTCTGCTTTCCATACCTTTAAAATGCCTGACATTGTTATTACAGGAGGATTTCAATTCTTGTAATACCTGAAATAAAAAAAAGCTGTACTGAAGATTTTTGTTATAGACATTATTGCTGCCAAAAAAGTTATTGTATTTGCTCGTAAAAACTATGAATAATAAAATACATAACGCGTTTGTGAGCCTACACCAGACGAGCGAAAGTATTAATGCCAAAACCGTCTAATAGAAAAACAAAGGATATGCAGGCCATCCATGACACTAAATCAGTACATGCACAGCAAAAAACAGACAAAAGGCAAAGAAACAGCGCTATATTTGCTGTTCTTCATCTTAAAGTCATAGTGGGGCCTTCAGCAAGCTTAAGACGGCCCCTAGTACCCCATTGCTTGAGAGCTCGAGGCTATGCAAACATTGCATATTATATGTTCATTAATTAAATGACAGATAATCAGAATGGTGCCTGTATCCATCACAAACATATTTCCTAGTACGATAGAAACAACCCTGTTATCCCTTTCTCTGTAATGTTTTACAATAATGTTGACTTCTCATGCGTACGACCAGCAACATTGGTGTCACTAGTGGTGCAGGAACCGCTCACAGGCTTCCGTTAGGCTTGAGTTTGTCCCTTGTTTTTGTTGGGGTTCGTGATAATTGGTTTATTTTTTTTATATAATTTATATAAAAATTAGGAGATGTTGTATGATTGTCAATGAGACAACCATCCACCAGAGTTAAAAACACATGAAAAATGTGAACTAATTCAATGAGAAAAAACTAACGGTCTTATCTATAACAAGCAATGTATGAAAAACAAATATGACAGACATGATTCAATGACAATCACTGTACTACAGACTTCTGACTTTGGACAGCCAGATAACAAATGTGGCGGGTTAAACATGTGTGTGAGCGCTCAATCCTCTACTGACCCGGCACAATTGTGTCACAGCACAACATAAGAATAAACTGTAGAAATCAGTTGCAATTGGCTTAACTAAAGATCGGTACGAGGCACAAAAAAGTATCCAAACAATAGACACAAAGCCCCCAAATACGAGTATTCGCAGTTACTGAAAGTTAGTTCAAAGTCAATAACAACCATCTAAGAAATCACATTCACCCAGAATTAAGCATAGATTAGTCCAAATCCACCGGATGAAGTTTAAAGACGTCATAAACAGTCCGAGAAACGCATGGCGTTGTGCAAATTCAAAATATAAGCAAACAGTATTGACAGAATGTAGCGTCATGGCTTCTTATATATATTTATATATGTATACCGACGGGAAAAGGCAAACCCGATTACCGAAAGCTATATGTGATAGCCGAGTTGGTCGAGTAGTCTAGTGCGCTCAGATACAGGGTTTCGAATCTCGCCAAGGGAAGAACAAACGCAAATTTGAAGATCTAATACTGTTTGGCTTAAGTATATATGAATTATTGTAGAAGCCCTGTATAACCACAGATTAACCGATGGAAAACGTCTGTCGTAAAGTTTAGACGTATATATATGTATTTATGTATATATATATAAATATATATTTAAATCGTCTAAATAACAGCCCAACAATGGCCGGGATTAGAACTCATGCTACTGAGATATCGTGGCACCAAATCGCCTTGCACTTTGCCCGACGCGCTAGACCACTCGACCACCTAGGCTTGACAAAAATCAAGCTTTGGGTGGCCGGGTGTTACATTTCCTAGTCATTTTTATCTAGCGTCGTAACACAGTACATAATATATAAGGCATAAATATGGAATATTACAGATCAGCTGAATTATCTATCGTAGAGGATCTTACAAATTAATGTAGGATGCAGTCACAGAAATAAAAATACATATATATACGTCTAAACTTTATGACAGATATAAATATATATTTATATACACAAATAAGAAATGTTTGAAATGACAAACGATACAATGAATGGCCTGAGAATACTGACGAAATAATCGCAAAAATACGAATGTGGCCTGTTAGGACATTACATTAGCTTAAAGAAAACACAACAAATATCAACAAAAATAATAATTTAATGAATAGATTATCACAAAATTACAAGCCCAGTTATACACTGAAACCCGTCCATTTTAAGTATTGATCTTTTGAGTTCATAATGCTCGATAAAATATTCATTTTAATTGGAAAACGTCAATTCAAAGACACTAACGATATCCATGGTTCAATGTTTTATATCGAGTGGAACCACTATGCGTCTCATCCCTCCAATCAGTCGTCGAATATCCTGCTGTGGTAGCTGTCTCAATACCCGGTGCAATGCTGCTTTCAACTGCCGTGAGTTTTTTAAGGAGGTATGACTGCCTGTAGATGACGGTCTAACATGCAACAAAAATGCTCTATCGGATGATAATCCGGGCCCATGGCTGGCACTGAAAAAGAAGTCACGGCTTCAAAATAAGGGTAGGCAATAACGGCCATTTAACGATGCGGCCTTGCATTGTCATCCATTGACACAGGCTGACACAGGCTTTGGGGCAGGTGGATGGTTGTCAAAAGGGGGGAAACAACAACTGGTTGAAGATCTACTGTGATGTATTGATGACCTCATAGGTTTCCTTGTATGGTCATCAATTCCAACTTGCAATCATTCATGAGAGATTCATCCCCATAACATGACAGAGCCTCCACAGTAAGGGACAGTTGGATGGATGTTCCCTGGGGTTTTAGTCGTATTTTTCTGTCTCCGAACTCTCATTTGTCGATCTGTTACATGTTGCAGAAACAGGCGCTCGTTCGACTAATGGTTCCTGCGCCATGTCCTCAAGTTCCAAATACGTCACGTTAAACACTATGCTAAACACCATCATTTATCTCGATCAGATAACATAGGATGTCTTATAACTATCATTGACTTCAGCCCTGTTGATTCCAGCCGGTTCCTCAATGTTCTGGTTGATACGCGTCTTTAATGTAGCCTTTGTATTTTTAGATCAGGACTAGACGCAAATGGCATTCGTCGATGCAGTGCCCTGTCCTCACGCTTCCATATTACGGTTGGTCTACTGGATATTGGCAAGTATTTCAAGGAGTTCGATTAGATGTGTTTTCTCACAGGCCGGATTACTACAGTATAGTGATAGCCCATCCGACGTCTAATAGCATAAAAGGACATCCCTGTTGACCGAATGCCGACAATTTTGGTTTTGTTAAAATCAATATTTGCATTTAAAATACAATTCGTGGTAATATGCTTTAATTCAATATAACAGGAAGTGCTTAATTTTTTCCTGTATGTATATATAGTACTATCGTTTTAATTTGTCAAAAATAAAATCAATGGAAGACTTACTAAGTACCGATAAAAAAGTATTTAAAGAGTGTACTACCATGTTAAATTAATAACCTTTAATAATAAGTATATTTAAATGATTAATTAATGTATAGCCTTTCTACATACTTTTGTAAATATCAAAATAAACCAATGAAATTTTTTTTTTCGAACAGTCATCTACAAATAGAGCAAGAAATAACAAAACATTTGACTGTATATTCATGCTTGCAGGAGAAAAAAGTATCACAATTTGTGTTTTATATAAACAACAAATGAATGCAAGGGGAACAACCAAAGTTGTTTATTGACATTTTTTTTATACTAAGAGGAATAACTCAATGTGCACTCATTACTTTTATTCTGTATAGTCTGTTTCATCAATTATCTGGCAAAGAACAAACAAATATCATGAAATCATGTTTTTATACGAACTCAAAACATTTGCGTTCGTATAATGCTATCATGTCGTCGTCGTCGTCCGAAGACACATTTGGTTTCCGGACTATAACTTTAGTTTAAGTGATTTGTTTGAGGTTTTGATTTTGAATTTCATTGGAATCCCGTTTTTTTTTGTTATTTTCCTTTTTATTTAGTGAGCGGACATCATCTATATAGTGGAACGTGAAGTTAAAAGGATAGTGTTAGCTTCTTTTCATTTTTCTTAGAACCTCCTGTATGAAGTCAGCCTCATATGAATACAGGAACAAGTTGGAAAGACGAGGAGCACAGTGTGTGCTCAGTTTTAGGAATGCCTATAGTTGAAAAACACGTCCTCCAAACGTAATAAGTAAAGTGAACGTTGTCCTGGAAAAATAGCTTAAACAAATGTGACAAGGACAAGACGACCAGAGAAACGAACGAACGAACAGACAGACAAACTCATCGTGTTAACCCGTCGCGACATTAGCAGGATATATAATAATATTAGAGAATATTTTACTGAAAATTGTTCAAATAAAGATTCTAAATAAGGATAAGGCCAGTTTGACAGTAGTATTATAAAAGATGTTAGTATTACTCTTTTTTTTTGTGGAAGAATTACATTGACTGTCAAGTTGTCACCGTAATTTAGCTCTTTTATAGATAATTGTTTCACCGTTACATGCTTTTCACTCAACTTTGTAGTTTTAGAACAGAGATCATAAAAGCAAATCTCCCTTAAAAGTGATTATAAAATATACACACAATTTTGACA